TGTTGAAGTATGTTCTTCTATTAAGATTGTTAAATATCTCTACAAGTATGTGTACAAAGGTCATGATCGTATTAATTTCTGTGTTGATACCAATGAAGCAAATAAAGAAATTGATGAAATTTCAGCTTATCAATCTGCTAGATGGATATCTCCACCTGAAACTATGTGGAAGATTTCTCTATCAATTTATCCGATATGTATCCATCTGTTTACTCTTTACAACTTCATATTGAGGATCATCAACAAGTAACATACGCTGATGATAATGATTTATTGATTGTTATTGAAAAGGAGAATGCAAGAAGAACTATGCTAACTGAATTTTTCTGAATAAATGAAACAAATGAATTTGCTCGTACATTATTGTATCGAGATTTTTCAAAACATTTTGTTTGGAATGCAAATAACAAAGTTTGGACTCCTAGAAAAAACATGTTGTCATAGGATGAATTGTCACATCTCACCCATCTGAAGGAGAACGATATTTTTTTCATATTCTTCTTAATCACATTAGAGGACCAATATCCTTCAATCATTTAAGAACTTTGAATGGTATAACTGCTCCTACATATCGTGATGCAGCACTTTTACATGGTTTATTAAGTAGAGACAATCATTGTGAATAATGTACATCTGAAGCTATTTTGTACGAGATGCCTATTGCTTTAAGACGTCGTTTTGCTACACTTCTTATACTTTGTAATTCTAATCATTCAAAGCTCTTGTTGGATAAGTTTAAGATTTATATGATTGATGATTATGTACATGAAAATATATTTGTAAGAGTTGCTGAATTACGAGCTTTACAAGACATCAATTCTATTTTGGAATCAATAGGTAAGAACATAAATGATTATGCAATAGTATCATTCAATGTAAATATAGATGAAACTGAAAGGTTGAGAAGAATGATTGAAGAGGAGACAACTAATTTTGATACTCAAGGGGGCCTTACTTGTGCAGCAACATTAAATAAAGAACAACAATTTGCATACGATACAATCATGGAAAAAGTTAAATGAGAATCACACGGTGCTTTCTTCATAGATGATCCAGGTGGAACAGGTAAAACTTTTTTATATAAAGCACTCCTAAGTGGTGTAAGGTCACAAAATTTAATTGTTTTGGCAACAGCATCATCTGGAGTATCTGCATCTCTTTTGCCTGGAGGTCGAACAGCTCATTCAAGATTCAAAATTCCTTTGGAAACTTTTGGTGAAGTAAGTTGTCCTGTTAGCAAGCAATCAGCTTTAGGAACTTTGATCTACAATTGATAGTAATCAAAAAGACCCTTGCCAAACACCTTTTCGTTAAGCTGTTCCATGTTTGCTCCCATACTATTTATATTACTTTTCATCCTAGAAAAACA